TCTTCTCTATATATATTCATATATATATATATATATGTTTCATGGAAATGATTTCGGTTTTAATTTCCAAATCTAGGATCCAGATCCTGATTTGGAAACAAGTTCGAACAAAAGCAACATTTGATGATTTCATCTTGCAACATTAATGGAAGTTGAGGCTTTGAACAAGTGTTGTTATTAATAGTTTATGTATTTAAATTTTTTTGTATTTTTTATTTTTTTTAAACAGATCTGCTTTTTAGAAAAAATTTGGCTCCATTTGGTAAGCAGTTGAAATTATAGTTCTACCCATTGATTTGAGTGTGTTGTTTGTTTTGAGCTTTCAAATCATAATTCTACAGTCACTTCTCAAAACTCAATTCAAAACATAATCATTACTTTTCAAAACTGATAACCAAACACATTATTCAAAACTTTTTTCAAAACTCAATTCAAATCAATATTTTAATTTTGTTAAGATTTTAAATATTTTAATATTAAATATGTTACGATTTTTTTAATTTTTTGAATATTTTTAAATATTTTAATTTTTAAATATTATGATTTTAATTTTTTAAATTTTAAAATATTTTATAAAAATAAATTCAAACTCTATTTTATAAAAATATTTTTAAATATTTTAATTTTTTTGTTATGTATTTGGTTACGATTTGAGTGTAGAGTTGTGAAAGTAGCATGGAGTTTCGAGTTATGTGTTTGGTTATGAGTTTTAAAAATAATTTTTTAATTGAGTTTTGTTTTATGTGTTTGGTTACGATTTGAGTATAGAGTTTTTTTTAAATTTAAAATATTAACATTTTTTAAATTATTTAAATTTTTACGATTTAAATTTTTTGAATATTTATTTTAATTTTTTACTTATTAAATTTTTTAGATTATTTAAATTATTTAAATATTTATGATTTAAATTTTTTGAATATTTATTTTGAAAAAAAATTATTTCCTCTGTAGTATTTTCAATTAAAAAATTGATTAATGTTATTTTATGTTAATAATAAATTTTTTTAATTGAATTTTAAAAGAGTTTGATTATGAGTGTTGATCAGAATTTTCAATAGTGTGAAAGTAGTGTGTTTTGTTTTGAGTTATAACAATTTGAATTAAGTTTTGAAAATTCTTTCGAAAACTCATAACCAAACAAATTTTCTTACTTCACATGTCAAATCAAACTTTTAAAACTCAATTCCACACTCAATTCAACACTCTATTCAAAAATCATAGCCAAACAAATTTTCTACATTCAAATCATAATTCTACAACTCACAAACTCAAAATACAACTCATACTCTCAAATCATATTTACAAAACTCTATCAAACGCAACCTTTGCCTTTTTGTTTGGATATGTTTCTTAAAAAAACTATCCGATTTAAGGAAGTTAGAGCAACTCCAACCAGAATCTTTATTTTTCACTAGCTAAAGTACGAAATAAGTATGCTCTTTATTATACCTAATTAGTTTAGCTATTGTGTGTTTCAATCATACTCTTTATTTTAATTAGTCATTCAAACTAACTTAATCAATTTTTAAAACAAAAAAAGGCTATATATATTATTGTATTTTTCATAGAATGCCACATCCGCACCAAATGCTAATATGGTTGCCAATGTGACATTTGCGATAATATTTTTAAAAATAATATTTTTTAATATTAGTTTTAAAAATATTATAAAAAATAATTTTTAACTAATATTCAATTTTTTTTATTTATAAAATGTATTATGTGAATATATACAACATATGAATTTTGTGGAACCATCTAGAAGGGGAAGGGAGGGGAAGAATAAAAGAAAACAATCAGGTACCCCACGATTGAGCAGGATTGCAACTTCAACTAAAGATAACAATTGTCTGACTATCTATTACACACTCCCAACCAAACTAAACATCATATATATTCAAGGAAATAGGGTAACACCACCTCAAAATTTCACAGAAATTTTACTCAAAACCCAATTAAAACACATAAACATAACCTACAAATCAAAGGACTAGATAAAAGGAAAACAAACCCAATTTTATATTTCCCAAGACCCATCAAATTGGCGTCTTAAGATAATTGAATTTAGAAAAAAAAAAAAGATTTAAACCAATTAAAACCAGCAATGTTTTCACATACATGAATCTAAACAACTGTAGTAGCAGCATACAAGACTACCAATCTCAAATACATACATGTGAAAAACATAGAAAAGAACATGTAGGAATAGACGAACAAGAATGGATGGGGGTTCGAAGATGGATTTGGGAAGGGGCTTTCGCAGAGATGGGTAAAAAAAAGGGGGTTCATAGAAGGGGAACTAAAAATCAAAAGGGAAAAAAAGGATTCACAGATAGGGGGTTTCAATTTTGGGTTTTGTAGATATGGGAGGGGAAGAGTTGAAAATAGAGAGAGAGAGAGAGAGAGAGAGGGGGGTTTATGAGTTGCATAAAATGGGAAGACAAAGAGGCCTTTAATCACTTTCCAATTGTAGCAAGCGGAGAAGGCATGGGGAAAAATAGGAAGCCATTTAGCCAGTCCATTGGAGTCAAAATATTAGGGTAATATTAACTAAAATACCTAACAGGACCAATATGCCTATTCCCTTGGAGTTGCTCTTAGAGCTGCCTTTGTGTAAGTCTTGGCATGGTGCTGTAATTGCTGTACACATGCAACAATCAAATAACCCCACACAGTGGGTTACAAAGCAAGCCCCTAAGCCTCGTGATGTTTATTAGCCATTCTTTTCATATGGAAAGATGGATTTCTAAATTGGTGGTTATATTTGCATGCTTTGATTTTATAGTTTTACTTCTTATTCCTGTTGTATTCGTGCAAGGTCTTGCTAACCTGGCTCAGTTGGAAGTTTGGTTTTAGATCATAATTCAAAATTCAACAAATTTAAATGTTGTTGTGTGGAGAGAGAGAGAGTGAGAGAGAGAGAGAGAGAGAGAGAGTGAGAGAACTCAGATCTGCTTACTAAAATTTGACATATAAAATTTAAGGAAAAAAAATTGAAAAGATAATAAAATTTGGATAGATATTTGAATAGATAAGGGAAAAAAATTAAACAAATAAAATAGATTAAAAAAAATTTGAACAGATAGTTAAAAAATTTGAATAGATAGATATAAATTTGAATAGATAGAATTTTTTTTTGAACAGATAGTTAAAAAAGTCAACAGATAAATTAAGAGATAAAATTGATAAGAAAATATTTTGAAAAATCAACAAAAAGATTTCTTACCAAACTATTTCACAAAAGGTCGACCTCTCACCAATAAAAAAATATCCACTGGATCTAATGTATTATAGTCTCTTTAGCTTGGATTTTTCAACAAGTTTCTTAATTTTTTATTATGTAGAGTAAAATATTATTTTGTCATAAATTTATGAAATATTGATATATACATGACTCTTTATTATTGATTTTTTAATAAATTTCACTTAAATCATGGTTTTTAAGTACGCATCACACACATACACATCTATACTTACTATTATATAAAGCAAAATATTGTACAGTCATTAAGACTTATAATTTCAATGTAAATTTATCAAACTATTAAATTTATAAATTATAAAAATACAAGTATTGGTTTTGTTCAATATGGTAATATTTCTTGTACATTTAAGTTAAATCTAAGTTAAAAAAAAAAAAAAATTGACAATAGCTTGAATATTGAGTACTGCAAAAATTAATGTGAAATCTAAATAGTAATAATAAAAAATTTAATTATTGAAAATATAGAATTGAAATATCTATACCGTAACAATGAAATTTATAACTTTTACTCACTGATATAGCAAAGTTGGATATGTATTTCAAATAGCTTGGGCCCTAAAGAAAAAATAAAAAATAAAAATTGAAAGCATCATGTTCATGATTCATTTAATCATCTAACGCATCAGCATCTAAAAACTAAAAAACAATTTCAATATAATTTTTACATTGACCTTTTAAGAGGTTATAAAATAGAGAATGAAGTCTAACTATCATTGTTTAAAAAAAAATAAATAAATTAAAACAAATATATTTTAAGCAATAAATTATGTTATTTTTTTTTCTCTAAAAAGAATTCTTGTGTGCATTGCTAGTAATTAAAAATTAAGATTTGATTTGTTATTAAGATCAAACTTTGAATTTTTTTTTCATAATTTTCTAAAAAATGAGGGATTTCACTAAGGGTTATTTATACCAAAACTCCCTAAATTAAATTATTGAGAAAGTGATAAAAATATATAAATAGACTTTAAATTATTGAAAAGTATCACTTTACCCATTAAAATATATAAAGGTACAAATGGATGCCCTAATTTTTTTTGGGTGTTACTTTAAAGCATTATGTTAGGCGTATACTTTTGCCTCCGTTGGGGAAGTGGGTTGGCTTTTTGGCTTTTTAATTTTTTTTGACTATATGAGCCTGGGCTCAAAAGCTTAGTTTGGGAAGGGCTTTTGGCTTTTTGACTTTTTTGATTTTTTTGTGAGAAAAGAGTGTAATGATTATGGGGTTGGATGAGATGTTTTGTCTGTTGTGGCTTATGAGCCTATTCTGTCTTTTATGACTCATTGAGCCAAAAAAAAAGCCCAGTGAGCCCTTGCCAAACCAACCCATAATTTAGGAGTTTATTTGTATACTTTTATAGTTTAGCAATAAAGTGATACTTGTAATCGTTTAAAAATTCATTTATACGTTTTTGTAACTTAGGAGTCAAAGGCTCCGTTTGGCAAGTGGGGTTGGGAGCTTTTTTGGCTATTTTAGTCCCAAAAGACAAAATAAGTTATTTTAGTCATAAAAAATAAAAAATCACACCCAACCTATAATCATTACACTATTTTCTCACAAAAAAGTCAAAAAATCCCCTCCTAAACTAAAGCTTTTAAACCCAACCTAAAATAACCAAAAAAATCAAAAAGTCAAAAAGTTAATCCACCCCCAAACCACGCCAAAATAATATTTTTTAATAATTTATGGTCTCCGTGTAAATAAATTTTTTGTTAAAAGCTGCAGTTTTATCGTTTTGTATTTGGGATAGGAATAGGAAGGGTTTTCACAATATGCATATGTCAGACAACTACGAATTCACAGAGCATTCTACACATAATCTCTCTGTTTTCTCTTCGAGCAAGCCACTTTCTCTTTAGGGTTTTCAATTTCAGCGTTCGATTCGTCTCTCTCTCTCTCTCTCGCAGATTGCTCTGAAAACCAAGAATGATGGAGGGAGTCCTCTCTCCTTCCGACAAGGAATCCATGGTTTCTTCCTTCCTCGAAATCGCCGTCGGTCAGACCGTCGATACTGCCACTCAGTTCTTACAGGTTTCTCTCTCTCTCTCTAGATGTTTTTGTGTCGAATCGTTGAATTGCTTACTGAGTGTGGTTGGTGTACTTGAAAGTATTCGTTTTTACTGTTGATCTGTCTTGAATATGAGAATCTGCTGATGATAGCGCGATTTCATGGCGAAACCTTGATATATGCGAGAAAGATTTTTTGATGCTATGTTTTGGTGAATGCATGTGAATTCTACATGCAGAATGTGGTTTGATTGAAGCTTATAGCTTTTTGTTTTTTTGGGTTAATAAACTGCATAAAGGAAATTGGGTATTAGTCCTCGTTTGGGAAGTAGATTGGGACTAATTTATCTCATAAAGGCTAAATAGACTAAAAGCCAATAAAACAAAATTTCACATCCAAATCATAATGATATTACTTTTTTCTCCCACAAAACTAAAAAAAATCAGAAGTTGTTCTCAAACAGATCTTTTTTAGTCCGGCTAAAATAGTCATAAAGTCAAGTTAAAAAAGTTATTTCCGAACAAAAGGCTTAGTAAATTTAAGTGAATCCGAAGGTAAAAGTATAATTTCCATGAACACTTAAATTTAGTGATAATGTCTGGAATTGGTCTGATTGCCCTGAGCTTCTTGATAGCCTGAAATGGGGAAAGAATGTTGAATCTTAGGTGGCACAGGAATGTAACCATGAGATTGTGGGATGACTTTGTTTACGTTGGGATATATATATGAATGTGCTCTTTGCTTGATACAAAAATTTGTATTAGTGAGGCTTCAAATCTATGAGAGTGAGCCCCGTTGATACACTGCAATGTTACGTGTAACAATTTCCTTGGTTTTTAGTGTTTGAATGTGGGTTTTGTTGACTTAAATCGACTCAAGATGTTCTTTGTCAAATTATTGCAGTTGGTATCCAAATCCTTCTTTTACTTGTGTTCTACCCCAAGCTATTGTGGAATCTTACATTAACTAAAATGCATAAAATATTGGTTAAGTCATGGAAGTTTTCTCATGAGCTGTTTGATTCTTGACACGTACATTGCAAAAGTGGTTGTTCCAACATGTCATAAAGTTGGATGATATATATTATTTTCATAGCCGTTGGAAGTAGAATATTTAGATCCTAATCTTTTGGCTTACTTGCCAAACATGATTATATCATGTCTTGTAGCCTTTTGTCTTGTTTATGTAACTTTTGAATTTTAGGTCAATATCTCACTGTCAGTTGGCTTTGAACTTGAGAATTAGCTGGTTGAACAGTTTAAGTTAATGAGTTGGCTTGGCATGTACACAAAATGACCTTGAATTGCTAGTAAAGTTGGAAATTAGCTGCCATGTGGAGCTTGAATAAAGGCTTAATGGGTTCTCACATGCTTGATCTAAGAATTCGTTTGAGCCATCTTCCCTACTTGCCAATTTCAAGGGAAAAAAAAAGGGAAGAAAAGTTGTTTGAGCCAAACTTGAGTAGCAAAATACTCGGCTTGGTTGTTTGCAACCCATAAATAAGAGAGGAAACAAGGGTGAAATTGTCATTTAAATCTTGGAAGAGTGGCGGCTAAGTTTTGGAACCAAACTTCTGAAAGAGTTACAATTTGCGTGATGCAACCTATTTCTGTTATCTTCTTCTTCTTCTTCTTCTTCTTCTTCTTCTTCTTTATAGCCAAATAGCCAAGTGAAATGTAGGTGGTGGAAAGAGAAGTTAATAAAAATGAGTATTTAGTCATGGGAATCTAATGTTGGATTACAACCAAACCAATTATTACTTTAGAAGGTAGTTTGACAATTCCACAAGTGATTTAAGTTGGAAACTTTTAATTGTATTTTCGATTAATTGCATTTAAAAATTCATAACAACTATGCTTGAAATTGGAAATATTGGTTTGAACTTTGACAAAGAGAGACTTGGCGTATCATTAAATGGTGAATACACTTTGTGGAAGGTGATTTTGAATATAAATCTTCAAAGACAAACATATGTTCAAAATTTAGATATTGAAATGAGTAGAAAAAATCTTTAATACTACTTATTAGCAACAAGATTTATAGGTTTATTTTAAATTTTATTAATCAATAGTACCTTTACTTAGTATGTAAAACTAAAGTGACGAGGTAAAACTAAACACCTTTTGGATTAAAATTAAGGTTCTTTTCAACTGGACACCATTTTTTAAGTGCTAACTCATTATTTGTTATCAAGTATACTTAGTTTGTCTTTGTTTTAAAATTTGGTGGACAAAATAAATGCTAAGATTTTTGGATTCTTTCATCTCAAATTTGAAATTGATGGGGAAATGATTTGCAACGAGGTAAATATTGGAAAACTGTTAGAATTTCCCATCTTTACCTTCACCTACTCCACTACACACTCCACTTCACCTACCTCCACTTCACCACACACTCCACTTCACCTAACCCACTATCACCTCCACTACACCTACTACCACATTTTCTTCTATATATAGATTGTATAGGAATTGTAATCAATCAATCTTGTATCAATACATAATCAATAATACATAAATTATTACATGGTATCAGAGCAAAGTTAACAACTTAGTCATTCTGCTTCACCGGCGGGCGGCAGTCTCGCTTTGGCCGCCCGCCGGACCTCTACACATACCCCTTCCATCCGCTGTCTCTCTATACATATCTGTTGTCTCATGGAAGTCATGCCATGTCCCGTGACTCCAGAGTCTCAACCCAAACATGAATCATCGAAGTTTTCAGAATAAAGATCCGCCACTTTCATCTCGTCGGACTTCCTTTCCTGACTCTACACCCATAACACTGGATGCTTTCCTGTTCTTTCAATCTCCGGCCACACCTCCTGTGGTGTCCGCTCCGCCGGTTTCAAATTTCTTTGGCAGATCATGACTCTGCAGCGACTTCTCTGGCTTTGAGTTTCTCGTTTACAGGTTCCTTCTCATGGTCGCCTTCGAGCTGGCTTAAGTTACCCTTCTCCTTTATCAGTTGGATGTGGTGGTGCTTGCAGTAAAGACGGCCCTCATGTGCTATGTAGTTGGATGGGCTGATTACACATCCGCCATGGGTGCATTTGAAACAACTCTTGTGGTACGCAGTTCCATTCACCGTAACCCTTTCAGTTGGATAGACGGTGTTCTTACAACCCACACATTTTTCTCTGGTTTCCCCAAACTTGCTTGAGACTTTATTCGCCAAAGGTTTCTCACTGTCAATGGGTTTCTATGGTTTCACAATTTTTGGTGTCCCTTCGAAACTTTTGTCGAGACTACCAGTCCTTGAGAATTGGAAAGCAAAGCATGGCATTTGCAGGAACAACCCAGAAATGTGTGTGTTTCTGATCTGAGTGAGAGAGAGGTGTCGAGAGAAAAGAGAGAGAGAGCTAGTGCATGTCCCCCATCCCAGTTCTGTCTTTCTCTGTTCTATATGTGTGTTGGGTCTCTTGTTTTTTCGAGATAGAGAGAGAGATGTCCCGTGTGTAGTGTGTGATTCTTCTCTCTCTAGACATTCCTAGGTTGCTCTCTCTCTCAGGCACACCCAACGCACCCAACGCACATATATGTTTATTATAATATTTTGCCATCATAACCCACACATTATAATATTTTGCCATCATAACCCACACAGCACACCATGTGTTGGAGCCATAATCCAGAGCCCTTTCTTTTATTTTAATATATCTGTTTCTTATAATATTTTACTCAAAGCTCCATTATGATCACTTTTGCACAAACCCATATCTCTTTCTTTTCTGAAGCAACTGAGTCACTCTTCACTTTTTGCACCCACCCACGTTGCTCCACTTTTCTTTCTTTTATTTTATTTTATTATTTTTTTTTTTCATCACAAAATTTTACACACACCAAAACAAAACAAAACAAAAAACAAAAAAACAAAAAAACAAAAAAAACAAAAAAACAACAACAACAACAACAACAACAACAACAACAAACCACCACACAATAGCTTTGTTTTCTTTTCTGCAGCCGGCCACCAATCGACCTCACTTCTTCGCCTATTCCGCCGGTCTTTTCTTCTTGCCTCCGTCTTGGGCAGCCCTTGACGGTGTTGCCTCCGTGCTTCCTAGACTACCAAGCAAGTTGCCTCCCCCCTGCTCGTCCACTGCAGCATATGGCGGACCTCCAAATCGCCACATCACGGTGGCCTTCCGCTTTAGCTCCTTATTTTCTGCTTTCAGCACACTTATCTCTGCTCGCGCATCCTTATACATGCGTTGGAGCAGAGCCAACTGGGAGGTTAACTGCTGCACCTCATTTGTCCTACTCTGCAGCCGGTTCGACAAGTTTGTGACCGCCGTCATGCTTTCCACGCATGCTTTCAAAGTATACTGGTTGGCCTCCACATCTGACAGCACTGCCATTCTTTGCTCCACAGACCGCATCGGAAAGTTCAGCGGAGTAAACTCCGGGGCGCTTGGTTGAGTTTCCAGTGCCACCGCACCAGTTCTCTCTCTCGTTGACTCGTTGAGGTCGGGAAAGAGGGTGAGCAGCCCGCGGGAAGACGATGAAGCCATTTTCTAGGCACCAGAGTGTTACACTGAATCTCTCTCAGAACTCTCTCTCAGAATATCTCTCGCAGTTTTTTTGCCTCAGCCTCAGCCTCAGCATCTGTCTTATAGCCGAGGCAGCCACGCGCATCGCGCGCCTCTCGCCAGACGACAAACGGGCACGCCAACCAAGGCCCTCACGTGCCTCGCCATCATGTCTGGCACATCTTTTGATAAAGTGGGCACGCCTTTTGATGGCACGCCTTTTGACAAAATTGGGCACACCTTTTGAGGGTGCGACTTTTTAAGGGTCCGACAAGACTCTGTAAACTGTCCCGACATAGATTCCGGTTAGTTTCTACAAGGGTCCAGCAAGACTCCGTAAACTGTCACAACAACTGTCACAACACCGTCTGCTACAACGGTCCGACATGACCCCATAAACTGTCTTCTACAACGGTCCGACATGACCCCATAAACTGTCTTCTACAACGGTCCGACATGACCCCATAAACTGTCTTCTACAACGGTCCGACATGACCCCATAAACTGTCTTCTACAACGGTCCGACATGACCCCATAAACTGTCTTCTACAACGGTCCGACATGACCCCATAAACTGTCTTCTACAACGGTCCGACATGACCCCATAAACTGTCTTCTACAACGGTCCGACATGACCCCATAAACTGTCTTCTACAACGGTCCGACATGACCCCATAAACTGTCTTCTACAACGGTCCGACATGACCCCATAAACTGTCTTCTACAACGGTCCGACATGACCCCATAAACTGTCTTCTACAACGGTCCGACATGACCCCATAAACTGTCTTCTACAACGGTCCGACATGACCCCATAAACTGTCTTCTACAACGGTCCGACATGACCCCATAAACTGTCTTCTACAACGGTCCGACATGACCCCATAAACTGTCTTCTACAACGGTCCGACATGACCCCATAAACTGTCTTCTACAACGGTCCGACATGACCCCATAAACTGTCTTCTACAACGGTCCGACATGACCCCATAAACTGTCTTCTACAACGGTCCGACATGACCCCATAAACTGTCTTCTACAACGGTCCGACATGACCCCATAAACTGTCTTCTACAACGGTCCGACATGACCCCATAAACTGTCTTCTACAACGGTCCGACATGACCCAATGGGGTGTTTACAGATTGTTATTTCTCATCATTGTGTTTGAATGAATCAAAATAAAAGAGAATACATGTCTTTATTTTTAATGTTTTGTATTTAAATAGACAGTTAGTATTTTGATTTTTTGATTTTATTTTTTGTATAATTACCTTTGTTTCTTACCAATTTTGGTGAGAAACAAAACAAGAGTTTTAAGTTTATTTTTTATTTTTTATTATATATATATATATATATAAAGCAATAAAGTTTAAATGGAGAAACCACTAAAAGTTCTAAGTTTTGGGCACTTAGTATGGTATATCATACCTGTAAGACTTGGACCAGTTTAAACTTACTAAACCATTAAAATAAATCCATTCTGAAGATGAATGGCAAGCAAAAGCCAAAGAGCCCAGATTATAGGCCAAAATTAAACTTAATGAACACTTGTAATGTCAAAAAACTAAAAGAGATGACAATCCTGTGAATTTTTGTAAATACACTTTAAAGCCATATTAAAGACTTACCGATATATGAAGAAACTTACATATAACTATATAGGGTAAGCTTTTAAGTGTCTGCTGCTTTACTTATTTCCATGTTCCCTCTTCACTGGGAGTGTTTTTTTCTAGGACCTTTTGTCCACATGTTTGGTATTGAGAAGATCGACAACTATGGTTGGGCGAAAGCTTGTTGAGTTGAATAGAATGGGAATACACCTACTTATTTGGTAGGTCCTCCTGAAAGCTTGTTTTGGTGAACATTTGAGAAATGAGGAAAATAGGGTAATTTGTTGCGTCAACTACCAAGACCTTTCACATAGCATTAAGTTTCTAATTGGAATTTAAGAGATTTAGGTTTCTAATTGGAATTCAACTCCTAATTAATAGATATTGCATCATTGCATGTGTTTTGATGAAGCATGGGTATTCTAAAAATTATGTCATAAGAGCACGGTGTATGTATCCTGTACGGGTATGCATATCAATATGACTACATGATGGGTACAACATGAGTACATGTCGGGTACATCAGTGGGTATATTGAAGGCATAAATGCAATTTAAAAATAAAATTACAAATTTGCCGTGTCCATGCCCTCATTTTTTTTTGAAATTACAGTGCCCCGTGTCTGTATCCGTGTCTGTGTACGTATCTATGTGCATGTCCATGTCCATGTCCGTACTTCATAGGGAATCAACCTCTTAACAAAGAGAGAGGGGAAGGCTTTCTACCTACTAAGCAGGAGCCTTGTGCATTGGGTACAACTTTTATTTTCTTATGTTCATTGACATGACTCGTTGCATATGCTTTCCCTTTAGTTAATCATAGAGGAAGCAGTTACAAGGTGACTTACCAAAACTGACAGAAGTAGCAGCTATGAGGAGATGTGATTGGTGCAAATCTTTCTGTGTCTACCTTCTAAATGTGGGAAAATCTTTAAAGAATTTGTGTTGTCTGAAAAGGTTCTGCATGCTAGAGAGTTGGTTTAAGCCTTTCTTTCTAAATTTACAGTCTAAAGACTCTAAATACTTTCTTAGAAACAAAGGTGGGTCTCTTGATATATGCATGAAGGAGCTCTGAGTATCTGTTTTGAGTCTTTCTGCGTATTCTATATCTTTTGTTGTAGGTTGAACTCTATGTGTGGAACTTTCATGAGGTGCTGAATAGATACAAAGATAAAGGGATATGAAAATATTCTTGTTGAGATGCATTTTATATCTATATTTTAATTTTCAACCTTAGCTGAGCATCCAAATTTTTGTTGAAATTGATGACATAGGATTGTTGACATTTTTTTACTAGTCATTTTAGTTGGGATATGGATTTAGTGATCTAACTTTAGTAGTAGTAGTCATGATACACTCCACAAGATTTTATGAGTGGATAGCAAGCATTGGTGAATAATTTTGTCAAGTAAAGTAAAAATAAACTCTCTGTATCACATGCATGTGCTGCTGGTTAGTCTTGGCCACCTAGTGGAGTGGTCCACTCTTAAATCCGCCATACTAGCTCGCATCTACTAGACTTAAGCTTTAAATTTGAATTGTGCATAGCAAAAACAAGAATAAAAAGTTCTTGTGCATGTTGGAGTTAATATGAGTGTCTAAAATCAATTTATTGTCCTGATGTGTGTTCATAATACGCTATACATATTAGTTACATAGTTAATTTTTATTGTTGATTTAACCAACTGGGTCTAGCTGAGTTGGCCACCATGACTTTCCTAAGGGCTTAGTCCCAAGGGGAAGGTCATGGGTTCAACTCTTCCTAAGGGAGAGTTGAATTAGAAGGCAAACACTTAGGTTCCGTTTGGCAAGACTTTCTAATTATGATTTGAGAATATGAGTTGTATTTTGAGTTTATGTGTTTTGAAATTATAATTTGAGTGTAGAAAATTTGTTTGATTATGATTTTTGAATAGAGTGTTGAATTGAGTTTTGAATTGATTGTGGAATTGAGTTTTGAAAGTTTGATTTGACATGTGAAGTAAGAAAATTTGTTAGTTATGAGTTTTGAAAAGAGTTTTCAAAACTTAATTCAAATTGTTATAACTCATAACAAAACACACTATTTTTACGCTATTGAAAATTATGATCAACACTCATAACCAATTTTTTTTTTTAAAATTCAATTAAAAAATTTATTATTAACAGAAAATAACATTAATCAATTTTTTAATTGAAAATACTACAAAGGAAATAATTTTTTTTTCAAAATAAATATTTAAAAAATTTAAATCATAAATATTTAAATAATTTAAATAATCTAAAAAATTTAATAAGTAAAAAATTAAAATAAATATTCAAAAAATTTAAATCGTAAAAATTTAAATAATTTAAAAAAAGTGACTTTTTCATCAAATTTTGAATTTGATACCAGGTTTGATGAACTGTTGGAGATGGTCTAACTCAAAACTAAATTCAAAAACTATTTTCAAAACTTCACATTTAAATCGTAACTAAACACACAACAAAAAAATTAAAATATTTAAAAATATTTTTATAAAATAGAGTTTGAATTTATTTTTATAAAATATTTTAAAATTTAAAAAATTTAAATCGTAATATTTAAAAATTAAATATTTAAAAATATTCAAAAAATTAAAAAATTTAAAAAATCGTAACATATTTAAATATTTAAAATCTTAACAAAATTAAAATATTTTTAAAATATTTAAAAAATCAAAATATTGATTTGAATTGAGTTTTGAAAAGAGTCTTGCATTATGTGTTTGGTTATGAGTTTTGAAAAATAATGATTATGTTTTGAATTGAGTTTTGAGAAATGGGTGTAAAATTATGATTTAAAAGTTCAAAACAAACACTACACTCAAATCAATGGATAAAACTATAATTTGAGAGGCTTACCAAACGGAGCCTTAGTGCTTTGCAAGGGTGGGAAGGCTAACTCCCATATACGCTAATCTAACAACTAACAATTGACTTTCGCTGATCAAAAATATTTTTTTTAATTTTTTATTGTTGATTTTGTAATTATTAAAGAGTTACATAGTTAATTTTTATTGTTGATTTGTAATTCTTTCTTTTAATATATTTTTTTTTTTTCAGTATGTTATGGAAGTTTTGAAAGTGGTTTACTCTATTATTTGTAAAGCTTTCTTTTTATGGTAAACTTGATGGTGAGATCCTGTGGGTGCAGGCCACCAGTTGGAAGCTTGAGGAAGCTATTCAGCTGTTTTATATTGGAAATGAGGGTGGCACAGCGGCATCATCTATATACTCTCCACCATTAGAAAATGATAGACCTCTAGCTGATCAAAGTTCAAGGTATGTTGGACACGGGGAAGCATTTAATATCTGATATTTATCTTGCTGGCTGACGGTTTTATTTCCTTTTGTATTTTCAATATTGACTTTTATTATTGATTCAGTCAATTAAAAGAGGACATTGGTGATGAAAATGGGAGACAAGCTGACGGAAATGAAGTCCGTGCACCTATACCTGTGAGAAGGGAGGTTCTTTACGATAATGCAATCCCTTATGGGTATGAGTTTTTTCTTCTCTCTCTCGGTAGTCTGATATCTCAGGATACAGTTAACCGTTCTTTTTCTTTACCCCGCTTCTATGCAGTCAATATTTTTACCTGGTGTTGCCTGATAGTTTTATGCCTATCTTTCTTTCTTTTCCTTTTTTAGTTTGTCAGTTTGGTTGTTTAAGTGATACACCTAGAAAGAGTTGCTTCGAATACATTGTTTCCTGTTAGCCTCTAGAGATATTTGAAATTTGATTCAATATGGCATGAGGAGCATTAAGGCATTATATTTTGAAAGAACTGCTTATATTGAATCATTAATTTGCTTGATTATTTTTTGGTGTCCTGTGATTTGCATTTTTATTTTGAACAGAGTGTCCTGTGTTCTACATCCTGTTATTAAATTGTTTTCTTACCTGTTTATTATTATTATTTTTGATTTCCTGTGATTTGCATGCTGTCAACTGGAAGGAATCTTTTATGTTTATATTTTTTAAAGCATATGTTTGATGTGTTTAGAGAAATGTAGGCATCTGTAAGTCTTTCACTTGCATGTTTGGCTTTCAGTTAAACATCTGAGTGGGTTACTGTGAAGCCCCTGAAAAATGTATTTTCCTTAAAAACCCTTACGTTTGAATTATTTCTTTAAAAGCCCCTCAGTTTCTTAAATTATTTCGAATCTTGTCGGTTAGCATTTTTTTAATTTTTATCGAAACAGGAATATCCTAGCCGAATTAGGTTCCTTAGTCTAATTTAATTTAATTCTACATAAATAAGGTTCCAATACATGAGTTTAATTCAAAACCCTCACTTCTTTTATTAATTTCAAGAATTACCCCAAAACTAGTACATGTACTTTTTATACTACAAGTACCATCAAATCAATTTGAGATCTATATATATACATTGGGAATATGTCCATAGTACTCTTATATTGAATAAAATATTTCCCATTTCCCTTCCCCATGGCCGGCCAACCTTGGAGAGTGTGAGGGACCAATTTTCAAGGCTTGTAATCATGGCATTCTAGAAGCAAAGTACCAAGTACGAGGGTTGTGTTTTCAACCTAGTTCCATGCCAACTAGAGGCTAACTAAATCTTGTCTAATCACATAATTTAGTCCCATAATCACTTACTATTCCATTAGACTCCAAGTAAATCCAAACTTTTCAATCCAATTCCAACTAGTGGGCCTTTATGTCTTTTCACACCAAATAATCCAAACTTTTCAATCCAATTCCAACTAGTGGGCCTTTATGTCTTTTCACACCAAATTTGCCTATATATACAACCACTCTCTTAGCATAGCATAGCATACACAAACAACACACACACACCTACATTCGGCCTAGAGGAGAGAAAGGAGAGCAAGAGAAAAGTCTTGAGAGGGAGAGGAAGGAAGAGGAGAACAATCTTGTTCAAGCCTAGCAAGTAAGCCACAACATAACTCTCTCTTTTATTTTCCTTTTTTAAATACATGTTCTTAAGGGTTCTACACATTGTTTTCAGATGTGTTTTAGTGATTTTCTTGTGTTAAAAATGATAAGAGTTGAGCCATGACTCTACTCTTCTTGTAGTTCCCCTTATTTCGGTACAAAACTATCTTTTTCATACCAATCTCTCAAACTTTCCAAAGGCACACCTGCAAGATAAATTTCTAAGTTTAATATATATTATTTAGCATGTTTTCCTCACAAAAGAAACGAAAAATTTCCCTTAGTGGATCTCTTTTCTCACAAATCTTCTTGTTTTGGGTATTGTGCCTTAAAAATTTGTTTTCACAGCCAGCTTTCAAAATTTCTAGAAAAATGTAGAAAATTATTCTGGGCCTCCATTTTATGTAAAAATCTTCCTTAGGAAGTTATCTTTCATCTAAAATTGGTTTCATTAAAAACGAGTGAATGATTTATGAGAAACTCCGATTTTCGTAACGGTTGACGAATCTGAACAGCGCTGGAGTGTTTCTTAAATAACTGAAAATCTAGAAAAGCTATCCCATTTCCGAAATTTGTTCTGGAAACTAGATTAAATTCTCTTCGAACCATAGGAAGGCCGAGTTCGGAAAAAATCTGAAACCACCCTTTTGATTTTAATCTTTAACGGGTACTAAATCTGAAATTTCTGTTTGACATTAGTATTTCATGCTATTGCGTTCATGAATATGCTTGTTAATATATATATGAATGTGTCCTAATATGATATTACACTTGCCATGGTTGTATATCTTATATTCTAGCCCTTTAATGATGCTTACACTTATGCAAGTTTATTCTTGTTACTTGCTTGTATGTTCTTGTTACTTGCTTGTACTAACTAACTTAAACACTAATCCAAACGGAAAACTTAAATGGGTTGGTATTGAGTTTTCGATCACTTGAGTAATGAAAAGATGATAATATGTGATGCATGGATTGTTGGGATGCGTTCCCTATTTGGAAGTTAAAGTCTTGCGCAAGTGGTTTTCGGAACCCTTGAACGGTGCGGTTGTATTCGGACCCTAGGTATTTGGTATGAGGAGGGATTTGGGCAAGGCCCATTATTACCGTTTCTTTTGAGGCCTTGCGGTTGGCGCTACGCGGTATATAACCGTTGGTAGGCATCCGAAATTAGTTCTGCAACAAAACAGCAAAAGAGGGGGCATATCGAATAATCCGCGTCCGATTCTTGTGGTTGGGAGGACGAAGTCTCTTTGGGGGATTTCTAGTTTACTAACATCTAACCTTGTAACCCTTTATTTGTTCAGTTGAATATCATGCTTTATTACTTGCTGCCATATTTGTTACTTGCTGCCATATTTGTGATTGTGTATTGGACTGGGAAAAAGGGACGGGGTGTGTGTGCGTTTACTGGGCATTCAAAGCTCACGGTGTATCATGCCAGGTGCTGAAGATGAGCTTATAGCCGGAGACGACGAGCCTGAAATCTTCGAAGACTTTTGGCTATCTTAGAAAAGTTAGAAATTTCCCTTTTGATATTTTGTAAGGCTCATATGAAGATTTAAATTTTCTTTTGGGATGTAATGTAATGGAACGAGCTTTTGTAATTACGGATATTCGTGGTTATTATGTATTTATATTCTAACATCAATATAAACCTTATCGTTGCTTATGAGAGCTTGTGTTAATACCTTTTAAGATCTGTCAAAAGGGTAGTGCGCTGCCTAAGAAAGCTAGACTTAGAAGAGAGGCTACTTTGACTCTTCCAGCGATCTGGGATCTTACTTTGGTTATTGACCGTAGGACTCATTAGTGACTCTCCCTTGACTGCAACCAATAGTGTAGATTCGGGGCGTCACAGTTACTTTTATTTATTTCCACCCTTGATGTTTAAGCATTGTCTGATTATTTTAATCAACTCATTCTAGCTTCCTTTTCTTCCATGGCAATTCATGTTTGTGTGGCTATATAAAATAGTTCAGGAAGAAACAAATCTTACTGGAACTAACTTAGCTCCAATTATTTCTGCTCTGGTATTTCCTTAACCTTTGATGACATTTGAGTTATGTCCTCATTGCTTTTGTCAGTTTAGGTTAGGTTGTGCTCCATTTTTTTGGTCTTCGTCCCCACTTCCTATGTCAATCAAATTTATGTTTCTCTGCTTATATAAAATGGTATTGGTGGGGACAATATTATTCAACTAGGAGTTGATTTTTTGTTTGGTTGTTTGTTTGCTTTTTTTATTTTTTTTATTTTTTAATTTTTGGGCTCGTTTTTTGTTTGGTTGTTTGTTTGCTTTTTTTATTTTTTTAATTTTTTAATTTTTTTTTATTTTTTTTGTCTATCATATATCAATGTTTTTGCTACTCATCATCTAACTGTGCACTTTTGGTGTCTCTCTGCATGTGTATTATAACATGGGCTCGTTTTTCTTCTTCTTCTTGTTTTTGTTTGTTTGTTTGTTTGTGTGTGTATTAGATGTCTTTGTTCTTTTATATTGCTTATTAATTGAGTTTATCTTTTCTTTTTAACTTTAGATCTAGGGTGGGATATTCTTCACATGAAGCTCATTCAGTAGTTCCCTTTCGCAATTTTACCGAGGAAATGAAACGTCCTGGGATTTGGGAATCAGAACAAGGTGCCACATCTACTGCTGATAATGCTCCAGATAATCTTGCTACCTTGTATCGTCCTCCTTTCGCTCTAATGCACAATGGGACCTTCGAAGCGGTAATGAGTTTTGTCTTATTAGAAACTGCTTGCCTATTTTCTTGTCTGTAAAATGTACTATTTTCAATTAAATGGCCATGAGCAAATGAGTTGGTAATATTCTTGGTATTAGTAGTTACTTATCAAAAAGGAAAAATATGTATTGGCATTACTAGTTATCTATGAATTAGTGTAGGCTTTTGTTGTGATCTTGGCAAAGTAGGCTTCAGGATATGTGCCTTCAAACTTGTGTTAATTATTTTGAAGGTTATAACATGATTTGAGATATTGTGTACTTAGAAGGCATGAAATAAAATGTACCGTATCCTTTTTTGTTTTGGTACATAGAAATGGATCATATTCAATATTTACAATCTGTTTTCCTAGTTGGTCAGACAGGTTACCTTGGGCCTCCTATGATTTGGAAGTTGGTTTTGCAAGAAGTGTGAATCAACAGTAGTTTGCTTTGATCCGTAGCATGATACTTGGTGAAAATATGGATGGATTAATTTGAGGGAGACTTAATATTGGCCATAAGAGGAAGGATACTGGAGGAATAAAGTATGTGGGGTTGTATGGAAGAAAAAGAAGAGTAATGGATAATGATTTGGAGAGAGGAAGATTGTTGGGATCCAATCTCAGTATTTGGGATGAGAGATAAAGAGAGGTGAAGAAGAAATAACTTTTGACCATTAGAGACAGAATGAAATAACAGTACAAAAAAGAGTTGAGAGCTGGTGGTGAAACTTGAATGCAGAGAAGCCATTATGATTTTAAATTAAAATGATAATAGAATGGAATTAGAACTCATATTGAGGATACATGTAATGGTCACTTTCACTAAAATACTAAATTAGGTTGGAGAATTAAAGCAGATGGAATTTGGTGGACCTAGTAGTGGAAAGAGGTTTAGGTTCAATTAATTCAAAATTGTGAACTCCAAACTTCAAAATATTAAACTGTGGTAATCACTTTAAAATCTATGAGACACTCTGAGAAATGCTTTTCTTGCTCTAATAAATCTAGTTCTTCATTTCATTGCACTCCACCAGATTTTTATATAAAATGTCTTGATCAACACCAATCCATTTAATTGGAGTGCTGAGGTGGTTGATTAAGCAAGATTTTTGAGCCTTTGTAGGATGCAAATTTGACTAGGGAAACTGGCTTGCTAGGTAAGCCAGTGAGGATGCCTGTATATTGGCTTTCTATGTTCTCTAATGGTTGTGTTTGGTTGTTGGTCATGGAGATGAATTTTATTTTTTTCCTTTCAGATTTCTTTTATCTTCAGTTTTTCTCGTTTGAAGTATGTTCATCCCTATCTCTATGTAGAATCCAGTTAACATTGAAGTGCTGGAACACTTATCATTCAATGTTAATCCATTTACCAATTTGGCTTTTATGCTTTCCTTTGTGGCTGATGTACCAAATTTGCAGGCAAAAGATGCTGCTAAAATCCAGGACAAATGGTTCCTTGTAAACGTGCAATCCAACAAGGAATTCAGCTCGCATATGGTATTGTCTAATTATTCTCTCTTTGAACCCATCTGCTCTTGCCTTTTCGGAGTTTCGACTCATTTTTGGTATTTTATGCTGCTTGTGAAGCTTAACCGTGACACCTGGGCAAATGAAGCTGTTTCTCAAACTATCAGTAATAATTTCATCTTCTGGCAGGTTTGTATCATACTAGTACTAAAACTTAGTTTTTGTGTCAGTGGTTTTCTTTTTTACATCTAATCTTTGTGCTAGTAATAACAATTGGTTTTTATATCTGTGCTTATCTTTTTTTATGTTTGATATGGGCTTGTTCTGAGAGGGTTATTATTTCTTTTGCTGTTACTTTTCAGCATGGTCATAGTATTTTAACTACTGTTTAATATTGTCTTTGGTCATTCTATTTCCTGTCCTGAAAATGATTCTGTTCTAGTGATACAGATGATCACAAAATGAATTTAATGTCAAATTAATTTTTTCATAGATATTTTCTTAATGTTTTTTCTCAAGAATTTCTCACTTTCCTGAGAATTTTTGTAGAGGGAGATGCAGGCTTGGATGCATCTTTGTATGTCTAGTATAGCAACATTAAGGATCCCTTAATGCAACTAGCCTAATGCTACAGTGTTGGCTTGTAAACTGTGGATTTTGTCCTAACATATGAGTTGTACCCTGTTGACAACTTTCCTAATCATTTTTGCCGTTTCAGCATTGTGTTGTATTTTCAGTTCAAATACCAATTATGGTGTATCTTAAGTTAAAATTAGATCTTGAGATTTAATGTTTTTATAATGGGAGCCTCACTGACATAAAATGGGGTTCCTGATCTAATTTATAGGTATATGATGACACAGAAGAGGGCAGGAAGGTCTGTACATATTACAAATTGGATTCTATTCCTGTAATTCTTGTCATTGACCCCATCACTGGGCAGAAAATGCGCTCATGGCGTGGAATGGTTCAACCAGAAAGTTTGCTGGAGGTACATGTCAGAAAAATCTATGCAGTCAGTAATTTGATAATATGTTAATTTGAGAGAATTGAGTAAATTTGAACTAAAAAATCGTAGTTTAGAAATTTGAACTAAAACAATCATCTTTAGCACACTGCATTCTGAATTTGGAAATCATCTTACTGCTGCAGGATTTATTACCATTCATGGATGGAAGCCCTAAAGATCATCATGTCAGTCTATCTCATAAACGTCCAAGGGAGAGTTCTCAGACTTCACCCCACAAAATACAAGGTATGTCCGACTTTGATGTTTGTGCTGTTGAACATCATAGTATTATCATGAATGAATCTATATAATGCACATTTATGTATTTTAATTGGATTATTATTTATCATGAAAACTAAATATCCATCAATGTTGATGTTCTTGATGGCATCTCTTATGTTCTTGCTCTTGTGGTAAAGTCATTGATATAGGACAAATGCACAGTAACACTGTCCTACAACTAAGATACCAAAACTGATGTTGGGCAGGGTTGATTTAGGCTGATTAAACTAAATTTGTTGGGCTGGGAGTCTAAAAAAAGATGGAGCTCTTAGGGCATCTAAAGTTGTAAGTTAACAAAGGTTTTTCACGTGTTGGTTCGAGTCGGATTCAAAAGTTGTCACCGTACTAAAACGGATTTCAACAATTAAAAAGCCTGTACAATTGTGTGCAGTACTTTGCACATGTTACTTTAAGTGCAAATGGGAAAAACATTGGGGCAAGTTGTGAATTGTTCTATTATTTCAATCAGTGTTGCAGTGATTCTTCTGTTTCCCCACTGGACCTTTGTCCACTGGATATCATATGGGTAAAGGTGTGGGATATGCTTCTGACTCCTGCACCCAATTTTGACACTTGAATCTTTTAACTTTATACGATGTTTGAACAAGAACAAACTTACATTTGCTAGTAAAGAAATATTTCTTGCCTCTCACATGGATAGAAGGTAGAAATTTCATATTTTTCCTAAATCTTATTTAGGCCTCGTTTGGGAACAAGTTATTTTAGTAACTTTTGACTTTTTATGAAAAGATGTGTAGAAAAGTAGAGAGAGTGATAGGACAACTTATAGTGACTTTTTGGCCAAAATACTTAGTTCCCAAGCAAGGCCTTAATTTCAAGTACATTTCTAAATAATTTACATCTTTTCTAAGACTAATATAATATAATATATCATATATATGTGTTCAAGATATGCCCTGTACCTGTACCTGTTACGTACTTGTTCTCAATACCTAGCGTTCAAATACATATCTCAATATTTTGAGATTTTGGTTTAGGAAGGTTTGATGTTGCACCTGATACTTGTACCTGAGTCCATGTAGCATATATTTCTATGTAATCAGTTTAGACTTGAGATTGAAATGAATTTTTTATGGGACCTATTGAAAATTAAAAAGTAAACTGGCTAGTTGCTCTTAAACTAATACCTAATTCCTAAATGTTAGTATTAGAAAATTACTGTAATTTCGTACCACTTTGAGCTCATGTATATTACAATACTAACAATTATATAAAAATATATATATATATATTTTAATAAATGTATCGTGGTTGTACTCGTATTTTATTCTTGAGGATTTTGTAGTATTGTTGTATTCATGTCATATCCGTATTTTTATCCGTTTTGTGCTATAACCTATGGTGCACGAACATGGACACGACACGCGGACATCCAAATTTTCAAAAAATAGGGGACACGACATGCTGGGGATATGTTTAATATATATAATTTTATTTATTTATTATGTCTAAAATAAAATAAAAAAATCATTGGTTTCTATAAAAGTACAATAATAATAAAATTAATAAACACATTTCCTAAAAAATTTTTAATAAAAATTGATTTTTTTTAGTAAAAAATGATATTTTTAAAATAAAAATAATTTATTCTATGAATTTGAGGTTTAACAAAAATAAGGATTAAAAAGAAAAAAGAAAAAAGAAGGGAGGGGAGAGATGAAATCAGGAAAAAAAAAAAAAAAAGAGGGGAGAGAGACGGGGTGAAATTAGAAAAGGGAAAACAGGAAAAAATAAAAAAGAGAAATGAAAGAGGGGAGACAGAAACAAAATCAGAAGTGAGAAGTGAGAGGAACAAAATCAGAAGAGGGAGGGGGGAGAGACGAAACAAAAAAGGGAGGAGAAGGAAACAAAGAGAAGAAGAAGAACAAAGAAGACGAAGGACAGAGAAGACGAAGAAGAATACCTCCGGTTGATCTCTTTTGAACAGGTTAGGGTTTCTTCCTTCAATCGATCTCTTTCTATCTTTCTCTCTCTCTCTCCTCTCCAACAAGGTTAGGGCTTCTTCGATCCACACCTCGTGCGTGTCCGGAAAATGTCATCGCGTGTCCACCGCATCTCCGACTGGAAAAATTCAAAAAAAAAAAGAGAGGATACGTTAGAGAGAGTCGGACACATATCTATAGCGTATCTGAGACGTGTCACGACACTCGTATGTAGGCCTTGGGGACGTGGCGGTGCTTCATAGGCTATAAGCAACAACCACCATGAACACCTCTCACTACCTGAAAGTATAGACAAACAAAGCAATCAATAATCAACCACAAGGCCATTACCAAGTGTTCTTCACTTTACTTGGACAAAGCAAATGCCTACCCACAGCTGCTTCATTTCATGAATTAATCTTCTTTGGCTACTGCCAAATCATTGGCTAGAAACATGCTTTTGCCTTTGTTGCTTAAGTCGTCTCCAAATGCCAGTGCAATTTTACTTTTACGTTACTATCTTCCTTGTTTCTAATGCTAAAATTCTCTTCCTTTTTTACTCACTCTAAAATCTAGTGACGGCAGAAGTAATTTCTCGTTCTTCCTCTTATTCTGCATTACTCCACTAGATCTTTTCCATGGAAACTTGTCTTGCTCAAAGCCATGCCTTTCAAATTTGTCAGCTATGGTGGTCGAATAACAAAATCTTGTGCCTTGGCAGTAGGAAAATTTGATTAGAGAAATTGGCTTCCTATGTAGGCCATTGGGGAGGCCTGTGTGTATTGCCTGTCCTGTACTTCCGATTTAAGCAGGAGGTATGCAAATTCATCTTAGTGGAAACGGGGAGTAACATCTGGGGAATTATTTTTCCGAACATACTCAGAATACAATTTTTAATCCTCAAGTTCTCATCTCACAATGAAGGGTAATTCTATTTCCATCCCTCGGGGCACACACTTAATGAACACTTTCTCAGCGCACACATCAAAAAGAAAAATGTTCTCAGGACACATATCTTCAATCCGATAATGTCCTCATGTTCTATTTTTAAAATCCTAATTTATTTTTCATCCACCCACTCTTCCTCTGCCAGAAAAGTTGCCCATCACTGACACCATTATTGCCACTCTCAACTCTCTACAGCTTCCACCACACCCAGCCCATCTCTGCTCCAGCTTGGACTTCCATAAACTACTCTTGTTGTCTACCATTCCTTCAAAACCCTAACCTCTGCCACCCTCTCCACTGCGAGCGCGACTCATAGAAATCTTTCTATCGCTGTGAACCCCAACGTCTGCAAACCTTAGATCTGTTCGAAGGTTGATATCCGATCAAACCCTATATTTTATAGGATAAAAATGTGATTTTGAAAAAATTCATTAAATATGTGCCTTGAGGGGATTTGGTATATGAAAATAGAATTGTCTCACAATGTACGAATAATTTTTCTTTTTCCCCACGTATTCTTTTATATTATTTTCTGTTGATGTCCTTTGAGGATTGTGCTTCGTTTTGAGGCACTTCTGTTTGAATAGGAATCACAGCAACCATAGTCATGAAGTTAAACCTCGATATCCGGTACCATTTTTTATCGTGATATTTTATGCCGTGATACTTCTGAAATTAGGTTTTGCACATGTTTTTCCTGAATTGTATTTTCTCTATTTAGCGCGCTCTATATATCTTCTTCCAAAGTGGTATATAACGTGAAATTAAAACTGACTTCAGAGGCTCCAGTGGTTGCAGACGCAACTAAAGAAGAAGGTGAGGAACAGTTACAAGCATTGGCGGCTTCAACGGAAGGCATGAAAGATACTAGTGGAGTCGCCTCAAAAGACCAAGATATAACGAATACTGACAAGGAAGAACGGCCGTGCTCACCAAAGAAACCTACATATCCACCTCTTCCTGAAGAAGCCAAGGGTGATAGAAATCTACTTTGCAGGGTTGGTGTTCGTCTTCCTGATGGTCGCAGGCTTCAGAGGAACTTCTTCCGTACTGATCCTATTCAGGTAATTCCACTTCAAATAACCACTAGGAAAGAAAAAAAAAAAAGAACAGTCTATGGAGGTTGCTGTTATTTTTGCAAATCTTAGGTAATTCTAGAAAAGATTTCTTTGACCTATCTGCCTACTTTTCTTCACTTCGTTATCTATCTACTTTTGGCATGCAACCTGTGGTTTGGTTTATTGGCAATGAAGTTGAGACCCGTTTTCACTGGGGGTGATGCTTGTTATTGACTTCAAAAACAAACTGAAATGAGGGCCCCAAGTAACAATGTTTGATTGGTTGATTTCAGGATAATGTTTGATTTTTTGTATGAGGAATGGATTTGTGTTATTTTAGTTCAAGTAAGCTGGGTCAACTTCTCTATAACCATTAACCTTTTGATACAGCCGCAATTAGGAATTTTATTTTATTTTTTTTGTTCCATGCAGAATTGGGTCAATAAAACCAACCTAAATTGACAGTAGGCAACAGTTCAAAGGGTTGAATGAATGACTGAAGTTGCACACTACTTTTTCAATAAAAGTTTCTTTCTTTGTTTTGGTTTTTGTTTGTATAGCTATGTGATCTTATCATGATCCTCCAAGTTTGCTCATTATGCATTTTCTTGTTATCCAGTTGCTATGGTCATTCTGCTACGCTCAACTTCCAGAAGCCCAGACACGGCCATTTCGCTTGACACAGGCAATCCCGGGGGCTTCGAAGTTTCTGGACTATGATAGCAAATTAACATTTGCTGAGTCGGGACTTGCGAACTCAATGATTTCTGTTACATGGGAGTGAAGGTAATAATCACGAAGGATGGTGTTTCAAGAATGTCTTCCAGCTGTTAGAATCTTCGGTTGAAGAATTTTGGTTTCAAATGCTAGAGTCATATTTCCTTTATTTTGGTGGTTTTGAAAAATGGAATTTCTTGTTGCAGAAGGGTGTGGAGCGGACCGTATTTAATATTATGTATATATTGGAATCTTTAACTTAAATTTGTTGTGTTTTTATTTTGACAACAAAAAACATCTATATACCAATCTTTTGTTTTTTTAACTCTCATTTTGTTTTCTTAACCCTCTGGGTGGGTCTGCTCTGCTTCTCTTCTCATTGTTTTAAATTACAGTTCAAAAAGGAAATCCTCAGTTCTTGTTAATTAATGAATTTTTTTTTATCATATTTTTACTCCAAAGATAATATTTTTTTTTCAGCATTAAACAAAAAAACTGGCGTAATAATATTATTTTTGAAACTAATAAATGTCATTATTATGTTTTGTTGTGGTGGTTAGTTATGAATTTGGTGATAAAATTTGGTGGTCGTTGATTATGAACCAAAGTAGACTTGTGCTTTGTGGGTTTTGTTGTTTTTGTTATGAATAAAAAAAGTCTTGATTATGTGAAACCTTTTTTCCCAAAAGATTATGAGAGTTTCTGATGATTAATTGTGAGACTTTTTTTTGACAATCTTTTTATGTGAACCATAGTTTTGTGACTTTGGTTATGAGGATTTTGTGTTTTTATTATGAACTAATTTGATCTTCGTTACGATTCAAAAGTAGTAGAACCTATGAATCAGTATCACTAAAAATTTTAAGTACATAATACCGTATGGGCATGTTTGATTGGAAGGATTAAAACATAGGATTGGGATTATTAATCCGTGGGCCCAATCATCCTATGTTTGTTTTGACATTTTGGTTTAGGATTATTAATCCAATGGATAATTAATCCAACAAATTTGTAGGATTATTAGTAATGGGGTAGGGGTGGGATAGCTAATACCACACTAATTTAATAGGATTATTAATACTTCACTATTAGTGTTGTGAATCAAACATGGCCTATATTCTTTTGAAGCTTGTCGAATTGAGTGTTACAATCTTACCTAAAATTAATTGGTTTTGGAGAGAATTTTATTAACATCTTTTGTGACATTTGATATCACTTCTACAAATTTATTATTAAAACAAAAATTAATTGGTTTTAGAGAGAATTTTATTAACATCTTTTGTGACATTTGATATCACTTCTACAAATTTATTATTAAAACAGTCATAGAGAGTGATAACTGTGTATTCAACAATCCTTCTTTTAAGATGTTTTCGCAAACGATATTTTCACGGCTAAAACGAGGAAAGATTTATGGTGAATACCTGGACTTAGAGCAGAAGAAGGGTGTAATAAGTGACGCAATGCTTCAGGGAGCTAAATCAATAATCAGATTGTCTTGATTTGCTTCTTGAAATTAGATGTAAGATTTGATTTTTCTCTTTCATGTTCTATAGGTTTTTTATTTTTTTATTTTTTTCCCTTAAATGACAATATGATTCTAATGCCACTTGTCACATTGAATGCCACCATTACTCCTAAAACCTTCACTTTTTGGAGGTGTCTCACTCATGCCAAAAAGCAGAGCACTGATGCATATCTCTTTACCATTTTTATCCCATTATTAAAACTAAAAAACATCTGTTGTTGAATTCTCCTCGCAACAAACCTTATATATCCCCATCCCATCTCCCTTGTATTTGCCAATTCCAATTTCTCTCTCTCTCTCTCTCTCACACACACACACAAAAGAGATCAATGGAGCAGTCAATGTGCTAGCTTTTAATTATGGTCCTTCTAATGATGTTTCTGGCGATTGGTATTAGCTCTCTTTCTTGTTAAACTCTCTGCATAATGTAAAAACTCATCTAAAACACCTTTTTTCCATTTTTCTTTTATTTATTTTGTGAAAAATGGTATTCAAAAGAAAAAAGCCTTATATTCAAATTGGCCGATGCTATAGTAGATGTCGTTTGAAAAGATATATGTGTGGTATCTGCAAATTATGCACTATATTTGTTAATTTACACTATATTTGTTGGGATGTACGTGTAGGTTCTAATAAGTAGGCCTATTGCCCAATATGTTCCATGATAATTAATGACACTTTAAAACGTCACTAATTATTAATTTTCAGCTATAATTTGAAAATTTTGTTACAAAAAATGTCACTAATTATAAGTATTAGTGACAGTTTAAAAAATTTGTCATAAAAAAATTATTAATCTTCAACTTTCAGCGACATTTTAAAAAATTCGTCATAGAAAAATATCACTAATTGTAAGTTTTAGCGACAATTTATAAATACTGTGACAAAAAAAAGTCACTAGTTGTCAATTTTTAACGCCATGAAAAAAATGGTTACAAAAAATTATTTTTAGTGACAATTTTATTAGGATTTATTTTCAATAGGAGTTGATGGAAATTAAGGTCAACTATTAGGACTTATTGATAGTTTATCCTATTTGGTTATGTAATAAAGTTGTGTTAGTTATTTTAGTTTTGATTCAGGCCTCATTTGGCAAGTGGTGATTTTAACTAAAAAGTAAAAGAGTTATTAAAAAAATCAAAAAATTAACAACCTATATCAAAAAGTAAAAGATTCATTGGGGGTATTTGGGAAGTGTTTTTTTTTTTTTTGGGCTAAAAAAACAATAAAAGATAAAATTGGTTAAAAAACCAAAAAAAATAAATCTTGACAAAATATCACAGCAAACCCATAATCATTTGACTTTTTCTCTCACAAACATCACATCCAACTACAAAAAAACCTAAGTATGTTCCCAAACACAAAATTTTTTACCTCATAAAATAATCAAAAACTAAAAAAACCTACTAAAATAACTTCCCAAACACCCACATTCTTTTCTTTACTTTTTGCACATCTTTTCGTAAAAAATTAAAAAGTTATTCCAACTATACTAGTTTTTTTACAACATATTTTATCTAAAAAGTTAAAAAATTACTCTGTTTTCAATTGAGGCCTCAATTAAAGTGTTATTTTTTGGGTTAGGTTTATTTTAAATTTATGAACCAGAGAGAACGTGAAGGATTTGGGTAACTGATTACGAGTTTCGATCTTATAAGTGGATTCAATAATTATAAGAATCATAGGATCTTCTATAAAGAAAAGGACCGACACTGATCGAATGCAAGCTAAGATCATTACTGATGTGCCATCCATGTCGTGTTGTTCATGTAAAAAAAAGTTAGTATTTCCCAGAGAACCGTCTCATATGCTCTTCTTGGGGACATTTCTAGTAGATTGTTTTTAGTGATTTTGTAAATTTCTTTGGATAAGTCTGAACCAGACTTATCAATCCAGTTCTTTCTGGGTGAATAGAGATTAAATTTGTATGACATAAGTTTCATATGTAAAATAAATTTGAATTACAAGACGATAATTTTAAATAATTTTTGAGTTGATTAGTCTGGATTCATAGAATTATTAAATTTCTTATGTTTTACTGGGTTTTCTGGTTGAGTTTTTTCTTTTTGGAATCATGTTACAAACTGCTTGTGACCATTCTATCCCTTGAACTAGAAACACACATTTATAAATAAACATATGAGTTTGTATTGTATGTGTTTAACAGAGAATTGGATGAATGGACTGGTGGTGGTAGAGGCAAAGGATATGTGAAGCAAGGAGTCACTCATTCAGGGGACTATGCAATCAGTGATACCAACTGTGCCAATATTTGCCAGGCTGAGGGCTTCAATGATGGCTACTGTAACCTATGAAGCACAGGTACGGGTACGAGTACTGGTACTGATACGATACGGGTACGTCGATACGGTAAAATTCAAAAAAAACAGGGTACGGGTACGGCTTGGTACGCTTGTAAAAAAATATTTATTTTTAATTTAGAGTAATGCAAAAAATAATTAAATGGTTTAATTTGTTAAGATCCAACCTATAATTAACATTTAATGCCAAAATAAAAAGTATAAATCAAAATTAAATGTCAATATATTAAACAACTTACAAACCATAATTTAATTTTAAAATCATGTTACGCATAAAACAAAAACTAAAAAAGAAAACTAATGAAATGAGTTTTATTTCTGTAGTAGAAGAAAATATTGTTTCAACGGAGGTACGGTACGGCTTGGATATATACTGTCAAAAATTAAGAAGAAAAAACTTGGGTACGTGTTTTGTGTACCCGGTACGTATGCAGAAGTACCATACGAGGTACGGTACGCCGGTAAGTACCCGGTACGGGTACGGCATGTTTTTCAAAGTACCCATACTTCATAGACTGTAACGGTGCCGCTGCTTTTGTCAGAAAATTTGCAGCTGAAAAAACACAGATCGATGGATCCGACACACTTTCAACAATGCAATGCAAGAGACTGTTTCAGTGACGCCATCTTTAATGGCAAAATTAATAAACCATGTTACTAGCTAAATTATATGCACCAACCTTTTCAAACTATGCTTATGTTCTCTCTCTCGTGGTTTTAAATATTGGCATCTAGACAGGGCCGGTCCTAAGATTTAGGGGGGGTCAAGGCGAATTTTAGAAATGGAGCCCTCTTACATTGAAAAAAAAAAAAAAAAAAATCGTAGAAAAAAACGATAAGTTATAACTTTTTTTATTTGTTTGTAGCCATAAAAAAATTTACTTACACACATAATCATTAAAATTATAAATAAAAATTTACTTTCATATATTAAGATAAGAAGTAATCATTACAAAAACTTAAAAAAAATAAAAATCTAGTTTTGTTGCTTTTTTTTTTGAGCCCCATGTTCTATTGGGCCTATAGTATTTGGCTTTTTTTTTTTTTTTTTTTAATCTAAAACACAAAATTATATTTGAGAATCCCTATTTTTAGCTAAAATTTGGGAGTTCAAGGCGCATGCCTCTCTTGCCTTCCTTCAGAGCTGGCCTGCATCTAGATATGTATTTGTATAGATAGGACGGTTATATATTAGTCAATACTAAATAATTATTCACCCTAAAAAACAAAAATATTGAGTAACATTCGACAATATATAAAAAAATAATGATAGTAAAAGTCTAAAATCCTAATTCATATCCAAAATGGTGAGATTTTATAAATATATAATCGTGAAGAATTAAAAGAGAAACGTTAATTACACTTTACGTCAGGTGGCTTGATCCTAAAATGTATAATTGTGGTTAGGGAGGGATGAAACTAAGAATTTTGTTTTGATTGAGAATTTTGTTTCTTAATTTTTAGGACAAACTACCAAGTAGT